GGAGAATATTAAAAGTGCCTCAGACTCCTAGGAGACCAAACTAATCTGTGTTGTAAGTACAGAATTCTCCTTACAAGTCAGGATGGCCAGAGTTTGTCTCTCTTACTTCGGACATATTATCAGGAGGGACCAGTCTCTGAGGAAGGACATGTGCTTGGTAAAGTGGAGGGTCAACGAAAAAGAGGAAGACCTCCAGCAGCAATGGGCTAAAGGGTAGCAACAAGGATGAGGTTGGCACAGGCTGTGGCAGTATTTCGTTCTGTTTGCATAGGGTTGCTATGAGGCAATATGGATTCTAGGGCACCTAATAACAACATCAGCAGCACTCTAACTCATGAAACTCTGGCATTGTCAACAGTGGTATGAGGCAGACCTCTCTGGGATGTCATCGTCTTTGGGTCTTTTCAGAAGCATTCAGAGTCTCAGAAGTTATTGAATACAATTTTGTTAGCGGCACTGTAGAACTTAGCAGATGGATTTTTCTTGACCATCAGGTGCTGATGACTCACCAGGCCCTACTCCAACCACAGAGCCAGAAGTCTTCACCCCATCGTATAAGCCATCAGGTAGGTCTGTACACACCACCATGTATACTATTGTGGCTGGGATCCTCACTTGGTTTCTCTCCCTCTCTAGAAAGTCTTGGTCTTAAGCCCAGATAGAAAGGTCCTTGTAGTGCATGACTTCAGGGGGAACACTTTCATGGGATGCACTGTGATTGGTATCCCAATGCTGATCGCCACCTCTTCCAATATGGGCATGGTGTTCCCAGACTTGTGCAGCTCAGAGGCTCTGCATGGTACATAATGTCCAGGGCTAGAAGAGGGAACAGCCATTGTACATCATCTGAGTGTACGCCAACTGGCATGGAACAGAGAGGAAACAAGTCTTTCATTCCATCACCTGTGGTAGCTGTTGTTGGGTACTGTTGCATAGGTTCTGATTTATAATGATCCTATGTACAACAGATCAAAACACTGTCCAGTCCTGTGCTGACCTCACAATCCTTGTTATGCTTGAACCCAGTGCTGTAGCCACCACATCCATCCATTTTCTTCCTTTATTTTTTGTTGTTGTTGACTCTCTACCAAGCGTGATGTCCTTCGCCAGGAATTGCTCCCTCTAGAAAACAAGTCCACAGTATGTGATTCTAAGCATCTGGCTGTATTTCTTTCAAGACAGATTTGCTTGTTCTTCTGGCATTTCATGATATATTTGGGGTTTATTATTCCACCATTCTTATTCAACCTGTATGCTGAGCAAATAATCAGAGAAGCTGGCTTCTATGAAGAAAAACATAGCATCAGGATGGGAGGAAGACTCATTAACAACCTGTGCTATGCAGATGATACAACATTCTTTGCTGAAAGCAAAGAGGACTTAAAATATTTACTAATGAAGATCAAAGAGCACAGCCTTAGGTATGGGTCACACATCAATATAAAGAAAACAAAATTCTCCACAACCAAACTAATAAATAACATCATGATAAATGGAGAAAAGTTATTAAAGACTTCATTTTGTTTGGCTCTGCAATCAACACTGGAGTCCTGGGGTGGCGCTGTGGGTTAATGCACCAGACTGCAAAGCCATTTGAACTAGAGGGTTGGCGGTTCAAGCCCACCAGCCGCTCCTTGGAAACCCTATACAGGGTCGCTATGGGTCGGAACTGACTCGAAGGTACTTAACAACAACACAATCAGCACTCATGGAAGCAGCAGTCAAGTAATTAAATGACATATTGCATTAGGCAAATCTGCTACACATGACCTCTTTAAAGTGTTCAAGAGCAAAGATATCAGTTTGAGGACTAAGATTCTCCTGACCAAACCACGGTATTTTCAACAGCTTCATATACATGTGAAAGTTGGACAGTAAATAAGGAAGCCTATAGAAGAATTGATGCATTTGAGATATGGTAATGGAGAATAATATGAAAATTACCATGAACTTCTGGAAGAACAAATCAATCTGTTTTAGAAGAAGTACAACCAGAATGCTCCTTAGCAGCCAGGATGGCCAGACTTCGTCTCAGACTACAGACACGTTATTAGGAGGCACTAGTCCTTGGAGTCCTGGTGTGGCACTGTGGGTTAATGCGTCAGACTGCAAAGTCATTTGAATTGCAAGGTCGGTGGCTCAAGCTCACCAGCTGCTCCTTGGAAACCCTATACAGGGTCGCTATGGGTTGGAATCAACTTGAGGGCACTTAACAACAAGTTCCTGGAGAAGGACATCCTGCTAGGTAAAGTGGAGGGTCAGCAAAAAAGAGGAAGTCCACCAATGAGATGTACCAGCACCATGAAAAAAACATTGTGAAGATGGCTCGGGACCAGACAGTGCTTTGCTCTGTTGTGTATGTTGAGTCTTGACGATACCTAACAACAAATCCAAAAAAAGAGAGAAAAGAGAAAAGATGAACAAAAGACTCCATTGCCATGAAGTCTAGCTCAACTTACAGTGACCCTGTAGGACACAGCCGGCCCTGGGAGTGTAGTGGCTAATGAGCTGGGCTACTAACCACAAGGTCAGCAGTTCAAATCTGCCGGTCACTCTGCAGGAGAAAGATGAGGCTTTCTACTTCAGTAAAGAGTCACAGCCTCAGAAACCCCATACAAGGTCACTACGATTTGGAACCAACTCGACAGCACAGTCACCACCACCATAAGGCACATTAGAACTGCTCTCTTAGGGTTTCCAAGGTTGTAAGGTGTTACAAGAACAGACTGCCACATCTCACTCCTGTGACGTGGCTGGTGGGTTAAACCACAAAGTCAAGTGCTTAACCACTGCATCATCAGGGCTTCCTCAGGCTACCTAACCCAAAACCCAAACCTGCTGCCCCGGAGTCGGCTCCAGCTCATGGTGACCTCACAGGACAGAGGAGGAGTGCGGCCTAGAGTTTCCCAGGCTGTGAACCTTTCCAGAAGCAGGCTTCCACATCTTTCTCCCAAGAAGTGACTGATGGGTTCAAACCACTGACCTTTGGTTAACAGCTAAGCACGTTAACCACTGTGCCACAGGGCTTCTCAAAGAACTAAACCGTAGAGTCAATTCTGACTCACAGTTAACCCGTAGAGCAGAGTAGAACTACTGCATAGGGTGTTGTTGTGAAGTGCCATGGAGTTGGTTCCGACTCATAATGACTCTGTATAGGGTTTCCAAGGAGTGACTGATGAGTTTGAACCACCAACCTTGTGGTTCAAACTGACCTTGTGGTCCAGTGCATATCCTACAGTGCCAACCAGGACTCCATAAGGTTTTGGAATCTGTTGATATTTTACAGAAGAAGACTACCACATCTTACTCTCGTGGATCGGCTGGTGTGTTTGAACTGCCAACCTTGTGTTAGCAGCCCAGTGCTTAATCCACTGCACCTCCAAGGCTCCGTTTAAGTCTGCATCATTGTTGCTGCTGTTAAATGCCATCTAGTCTGTTCCAATTTATAGTGACCCTGTACAGGGTTTCCAAGGAGCAGCTGGTGAATTTCAACTGCCAACTTCGTGGTTCACAGTCCAGTGCTGATCCCCAGCACCACACCAGAAGCCCAAGGCTCTAAAATAGTCACACAGACATCCTACTATCTGGTAAGAGAACATTCACCACAGCCAGATGCCACCTCAGGTGTCTCAGGCTGCTGCTTAGGTGACTACAATGTTCATAGGCCTTGAAAAGTTGTGTTCTCAGAGCCCTCTTTCTTCATAAAAAAAAACAAAAACTCAAGATCATATCTTATGACTGTGCTGGTATAAAAATGAATATAATCCAGATTGACTTTAATCATTAGTTTTCTTCTGGTTTTAAAGAATTCAGATATCTCCATGGTCCCCAGGCACTTGCTGAAGCTCTTGAACCAAGAGCTTCAGCAAGTGCCTGGGGACCATGGAGATATCTGGTCTCTGAGCTAAGCAAGTTAGAAATTGACACTACATATTTGACTGTGACTTCACTCTCCTAACATTTGTCCTTATGAGATTGGGTTTTGGAATACCTAAAATGGGGGTACAACGTGCCCAGTGAAGGAGGCTTCCTGCGGAGCCTCTGCATTACATAAGACTATAGATGGAATCCTGAACAGCATCCTGAATCTTCAGAGGTGGAAATTTTCCATTTGAAAGGATAGGCAGACCAGCCTGGAGCAGCTAGAAGAACAGAAGATACTACATGAAAGAAAGACCAACAGGAAAAATACAAAACAGTAATGGCAGTCTGACTGACTACTACAAGAACAAGAAAGTTGCTCGCCCAGAAGACATCAAGGCAAGTGGTCGGGTCCCCTCAGAGCAAACCCCCTTCCAAGACGAAGACTCAATGGGAATACACTCTGATTGGTGGCCACGTTCATCACCAATAAGGGGAAGTGAGGGAAAAACAGCAATGAAGCTGCAAGCTAAGCCCTAAAATGCTCAATAGACTCCTGTGAACCCGGGTGGAGCCCTGGTTGGCCAGTAGTTTGGCAAGACCTGGGGACTCTTTGGCCCAGAGTCAATGACATAGCCACAGAGGACTAGAGTGGAGAGTGAAACACCCAGCTGATAAGAAGAGAGGGCATATGCACAAGAACACCCACACTTGCAGATAATACCCACTTGACCTGGCTTCAATGACTGGATAATCAGAGCTCAACTAGAAAAAGAAAGAAGAGGAAAAAAAGAGTAATCTGATACAATGTGATGAACTTGACCTACACCTATGGATGCAGTAGCTCAAAAGAGGGAACAAATCTTTACAGAGAGGAGCATTCCCACCCCCTCCATACACAGAGCAGACAGGGATGGACAACTTGGATATTGGCTATCCAAAGTAGGGGGGCTACAAAGGCAAGAAGTGACTGGCTTACAAGCTTTTAAGGGGGAACCTAGATCCAGAAGGCATGGAGGAACATCGAATCTCCACTGAGTAATATCCAATCTGTCTAGGCGGGGCTGATGAAAAGAAATGCAGATAGGTCTCTTGTGATACAAAAATGAATAATTGTCATGAGCACTGATTGTGAGGGTTGGAAATGTAAAGGTAGACGTTTTAAAGCAAGGAGGGGAGTGATTAACTTTGCAGTCTAGGAGCGGAGGTCCCTGGGACCATCAAGGGAGAAGAGCGGAGAGCAGGACCCTACCCAGAGAAGCAGTGATGCCAGAGATGGAGGCAGAGATGATGATGTGGAGAGATGGAGCAGCTGGGGTTTTTAAATCCAGAGAGGGAGAGGGGCTGTGTGCTGACGACCAGGGGGCAGGCTTGCAGGGTATCCTCTATGGTTGGTTGACCATGGCAATGAAACGATATATGATAGGATGAATGTAACGATATACGATAGGCATTGTAACCATGGCAATGATACGATATACGATAGGATGAATGTAAAACTAAAGTTCTCCCATGTAAACTATCACATAATTCACAATAAAACATTAAAAAAAAAAAGCACTAGTAGAAGAGTTTGATGGAGTAAGATTATGACTATATCCTGACACCAGCACCTCTTCTCCCACTGTTTTGTGTCTCCCAGGGGTCTGGATGGAGGTGAGGCTGGTGAACGGCTCAGGGAGGTGCTCAGGCCGCGTGGAGATCCTCATCCAGGGCACATGGGGGACTGTGTGTGATGATCTCTGGGACTTGGCCGAGGCCACTGTCGTGTGTCGCCAGCTGCAGTGTGGTCAGCCAGTGCAGGCCACCACAGGGGCTCACTTCGGGGCGGGCTCTGGGCATATCCTGCTGGACAATGTGCAGTGTGTGGGCAGCGAGAGCCACCTGGGGCAGTGTGTGCACAAGGACCTGGCTGGATTCAATTGTGGCCACCTGGAGGATGCCGGTGTCATCTGCACAGGTGAGGAACTGGCTATCGGCCCTGGTCATTTGGAGGACTACTTCTAATCTCTTTACTATCCCAGCCCCTCAACATACGTCCACAGACACACCCCAGCCCCACCGCAGCCTAGCCCAGAAGGGCGGGCTCCAGGCAGGTAACCGGTATGACCAACATCCTTCAAAAGGGATGCCCAGCCTGAGCTGCTGGAGTGTCTCAGAAGCTTGAATTTTTAAATCTGAATATTTGCCAAAAATAATCCTAATACTTACATTTCTTGAAAAAGAAAATCCAAGCACAAAACTTCAAATTCTTTCATTATATTCACTGGCTGCATTAGAGAAAACTGCTTCCTTTGATTATGGTACGGGCTTCCCTGTTTGCTACACTCCACACTGTGTAAATCTCTTGTTTATCTTCTCCACATGGCCCTCAGAATTTTTTGCATTTATGACCTCCCATTGATGGGGCAAATTTGTCAGCTGCTGTTCAAGGCCCTCCATGTTTGGGTCTGACGATCTCCCCAAGCCCATCACCGGACCACTCTCTGTTGTTCTGGTTGACTCGCCCCACAGGACTCCCCACCCTTTGCTTATTCCTGCCACTGTAATAGCTTCACTAGGAAGGACAAGTTCTTCTGGGCTGCACCTGGTCCATCCTGAGCTGCACCTCCTTCAAGGAACCTTCCTCAACACATGAAGACCATGGGAAAGCACACATTGCAGTACCTCTCCTGATACTCAGCATTTGCTTCCTGGTCTCATGTCCCTAATTGCTAAGAAATGCCAAGATTCTTGAGGGCAAGGTCTCTGCTTCCTACGTCTTATGCCTCCAGCAAAACTTTACATGTAGGAAGCCCCTAATCAACATCCACCTATCAAATTGTGATAACATGAACTGTGTCTCTTCATACCTATAGGTGCTGATTCCTCTGGTGCTCTGCCTACAGGTAAGACCACATTTTACATTTGATGTCATATCTTAGACTCGGTTTGATGTAAAACATATCATGAGCTTTAGAGTCAGATCTTGGTTTGATTCTCAGCTTCATTCATTTACTCGCCCATTCATTCAAGAGATATTGACTGAATTCACCATGTGTCAAACCCTTGCCAAGCACTAAAGATACAACAGTGATTAAAATCCCCTTGTCTCTTTTTTGCATGGGGTTTACATATTAATGGGGAAGATGTGGCCTATGGTAACCCTTAGTTGTGTCCTCAGCCAAGTTATGTCCTTTCTCTTGGTCTCAGTTTTCTCATCATTAAAATAGGAACATTATAGAAAATGGGCTGAATATGGCAGTGTCTGATGGTACCTGACACCTGGCATATATTCACCAAGTGATGGGTTCCTTCTCTGGTCACATGCTGACCTAAGACATGTGTGGGATGGAAATGGCTTTGAGCTACAGGAATCTGGTTCTGGGTTGGCCTCCCACCAGTTGAATGTCCTTGGTCCTCAGTGTCCATGTTAGAGTCTATTCTTCCTAATATTCTAAAGGTGCCCTGGTAGCATAGTGGGTTACATGTAGGGCTGCTAACCATAAGGCCAGAAGTTCAAACCCCTGAGCCGCTGCACAGAAGAAAGATGAGACTTTCTGCTCCCATAAATATTTGCAACCTCAGAAATTCTATACAGGGCCACTATGAGTCGGAACCGACTCGACGGTACCCAGCAGCTAACATTCTATGACTTTGACATTCTCCAACAAGGCAAGAATGATGACCATGTGGATGGACTGCATTATGTATATGCCACTATGAAATGCAAGAAGTTGTTGAAAAACAGAGAAATGGATCTCTTAATAGAAATTCAGGGGCCCTTCCCTGCCCTGTATTATTACGAAAAATTTCAAGTACAAAGCAATGTTTGAAGAATTTAGCTATGACCCCCTACTTAGCCTGTATGATACATTTCTCTATCCAGTCCCCCTATATTAAGCTATCAATCCATCTTATTTTTATGAAGGTTTTATTTACTTGCCAGGAAAGTCAACCATTTTAAGGTCAAGTTTCATGCATTTTGATAATTGTACGGTTGTGTTGTCTGACCTTAAAAGTTGCTCTCCTGCCATTTCAACGTTGATCCCATCCTCCCCCCATGAATCTATGGTGTGACCTTCTGTGGTTTGTTGGGATGAAGTCATAGCAGTGATATACATGGGGAGAGGACATGGGGAGAAGGTGGTCAACGATGACCTCTCAGGGAGCAGGCCAACTGGGGTCAATTGCCCATGAACTTTGCTTTCACTAACGGCCACTGGGGGCATGTGGCTTGCCAACCAACAGCAATACCATGCTCAATCCTAAATGGAGCTCACTGGGATATGAGGTCACTGGTCGTATAATGCTGAACCCTAGGAGGAGGTAGGCAGTGCTAGAACATTCTCTGAATGTTCTGATTGTTCCTTAATGACAGCCCTTCCTTCCTTTTTATTCATCATTAGACCTTGGGAATCTACTTTCCACATCAACAGTGATACCTGTGGTTAAACATCCACCTTCTTCTACACCTTCAGGTAGGGTTGTGTTTTTATGCAACTTACTATAATACTTTTGATTATATCTTCTGAGCAACTTCATCTGTTCAATAGCGAAAGATAATGAGAGATAGGTCCGTGGCTATTATCTGAGGTGACAGAGGTGAGGGCATCACATGGCTTTCATTACCCCCCAGGTTAACTCAAGTTTCTGCACATGAGCTTGAAATAGTCTCAGTTTATGAGGCCCCGGGAGGCTCTATACTGATGCACCATGACGTCTTTCACGTTCTGTGGCCAAATCAAGCCACAGGCTGTCAGCCCAAACTCAAGGAGCAGGAAGGTAGGTTCTACCTCTTTCTAGGATGAGCTGTACTATTACATTGGGGGAAACAAGGACACAAGGAAGAGAATAACTATAGCCAAGTTTGTAACAAATCTACCACGAGCAAGTGACCTTATAACAGAGTGTTGACAAGGAAGACATTTTAGGCTCCTTAGAGCAGACAGATCTGGGAATGAAAAACAGGGTCCCTGTGGCCAGGCTGAGTTCCTGGCAGGTGGGAACAGAAATCACCACCTGACACCTTGTTCTTCCTCAGGAAGCTGGGCACCCATACGGCTGATGGGAGGCCAAAATAGATGTGCTGGCCGTGTGGAGCTGTTCCACCAGGGAGTCTGGGGCACCGTGTGTGATGACTTGTGGGATCTGAAGGAAGCCAACACTGTCTGCAGGCAGCTGGACTGTGGTTGGGCCATCTCAGCCCCGGGCGAGGCCCACTTCGGGGAAGGTTCTGGGAAAATCCTCCTCGACAATGTGCACTGTAGGGGAGACGAGCAGTACCTGGAAGAATGCTCCCATGTTGGCTGGTTTTCCCACAACTGTGGTCACAGTGAAGATGCCAGTGTGATCTGCTCAGGTAAACTTCTGCTCCTTCCCTGGCCAAGAGAGTACTTTTCAATATCAGGGTAGAGCTAACTACAGAAAATGAACCTGTACTTTACCTGTTCACTGTGTTCTCATTTCTCACACCTACAGGTGCTGGATACTCAACCATCACACCACCAGGTAAGGAAGCCAGTGCTCATATCTGCAGTTCATCAAAGTCTTGGAGAAAGTCTTGATGGAAACTAGATGCATCCTATTCTGTGAGCCCGTGGCATCCTGAGAGAGAAGGAAGGAATCTCCTGGTTGTCCAGTGAGAGAATGGGGTGGTACCTTAGTCCAGCCTCATGTTTACCTCCAATCTGACCCCATGCATTTTCCACACAAGAAACAGATTCTACATTTCTCAGACTGCTGAACAGCACTTTGGGTGTGTCAGTTCGGTGCATTGCATCATGCAGAACAATGAACTATGGGTAGAGAGGTGATTAAGCACAACTCCTGCCTTGGCAGTCCTGGGCAAACTCAAGGTGGCCAATTCTGTTTCTAATCTTTCTTTGCCTCTGCCTTGTTCATGGCGTAGAAACAAAGGAACAGAGCTCTTAATCTTCCCACATGCTCTCAACCCAACACCCAGAATTTTCCATGCCAATCTCTGTCTCTCATCAAACCCCCAGATCCCTTGATGCCCTCAGTCAAAACTAGATTGACAAAGCCCAATAAAGCTTACTTCCCACCCCTGCCTGAGTTGTCAACTCCTGTGGGTGGAGATAAATTGGTCCAGGGAAAGTATCTCTAGTGGGTGACACAGAGCTGAGAGCCACTCTGGTACGAGAGACAATGAGGGAGGAGGACAAGGTCCACATCATCCTTCAATCTTGGCTCATCACTGCAACATGAATCAATGTCTTCTAGTATGACCTGGGTCACAGCAAGAGGCTACAGAAGCCATAATTATATGTCTTTGATTTTTGGAAACCCTCAAACTTTTCTTTAATCTCATTTACACATGTGAGAGGAGAACAATGCATCCAAGTCTAAGTTAATTCCTTCCACACATTAAAACCCGCTTCATGTGCAGGCCTTACTCCCAGAGACCCTACTTTAGAAGTTCTGGGATCGACTTTAACAATGGGCTTGTTCAAGGCTGCAGGGGGATGTTCATGAACAGATGGGGGTGCAGAGCTCAAGCCAGCTGATGTTCCAGATGTCCTTTGTGTTTAACAGGTCCCACACCGGCTGACCTGGCAGGGAAAACGCCTGCAGGTGAGACTTCTGTGTCCTCAGCTACTCTGGTCATCATCCTCTAATCCAAACCCTAAAGTGATTCTTCATAGCAACTGAGCCAAAATCATACTGCCCTGTCTGGGTTATCCCAATGAGTCAGTGCTCTGAAAGAAGGGCCTAATAAAAAAGATCAATTAATTTATGGTTTAGATTACATTTCTAGTTCATCAAAGAAGGAAGTCCAAATAGTCTAGTGATGCCAGCTTTTGGGTGTGCCGACATGGCCACCATGAGTGAAGGATAGGCATGTGATCATGAAGACAGCAATTTAGCCAGGGTCATCATTGAAGTGACGATGATCAGTCCTTTCTCCTTCTCTGACATTCTCCATCCTCCTCCTCCATCCTTTCTTTTTCATCTTCCATTGTACTCTCCTCTCTGACCTGCACTGGGATGTCAGAAGCTCCATTTTTAGCACTGCTTGTTCACAAGGACTAAAATAATGTTGGTGCCTAGAAAGTCTGCCTGGGCCTTCTAGAAAAGAGGGACAGCTAGATGGCAGGGGCCAACTGGACCACCACACACAGTCAGATCCTCTGATGGAGGAAAACCAGGTATTCCCATGGTCATGGACAGCACCTTTCCTTGGAGACTGAATGTTAGATGGGTGAGTAGACAGACAGACAAGCAGATAGAGAAACAAAGGAACAGACACTGGATGGGCCGGTGGATGCAGAACGTTTTCAGTATTTGTGGGAGGTTGGTGTGGATAACTTAGGGCAATTTCTTCCCACCATTAAGATTACAATTGAAGGTGGAGAGGACACTGCCATCTTTATAGACACAGAAGAGAGATTCCACAAAGGCTCAGTCTTTCCTGGGGGAGAGCTGAAACAACATTTTATCATCACAACTGTCCAAATGTAATGTAAATGGCAAAGTCAAGGCTATTGGATTCACCACGAGGGAGTAAATCAAGGGAAAGGTTCTGACCACCAGTAGATAACAGCTCTTTCTGAACAAGTCCAAGTCCATGGTAGAATGCTCAAGAGGAGAAAGATATTTCAAAACCCAAATTTTTAAACCCCTAATTTCTTAAAATTGCAAGACTTTTTACCTGGTTTATACCTGGTTTGCACTAGTTTATCATGGAAATTTCTAAGACACACTCATAAAGTAATGATCAATAAAACTCTTTTGGGGGGGGGGGAAATGTAAAGGAAAAGGTATGAATTACAAAATAGTAAAGGGAACAATGGAAAAAAAACACAAAAAAAACAACAACCCTGGAATTCTAAACTATCTTCTTTCTTTCTCTAGAGAAATCTCCATGTGGTGGCATTATTACAAATTCTTCTGGAGCGATCAGGAATCCCCCCCAGAATGAAATGCATGACAACATAACCTGTGTTTGGGAGATCAAGGCTAATGCTTCGGATCATATACTGCTGGCATTTCCATATCTTAAGTAAGTCTAGAGCAGGGTCGCTGTGGAATTGGAACCAACTCCATGCACACCACCAACACCAACACCAAAGCCTGTGAATCAAGTACATCGTTGCTGTGATTAGTACCATTGAGTAGTTCCAACTCACAGCAACGCTGGAATGGGTGTCCAAGGAGCTTCTGATGAGTTTGAACCACTCGCCGTATGGTTAGCAGTCCAACGCTTATCCTACAGCATCTTATACTGGGTAGTTGAAAAATCCAATCATTTACTCCTCTGGTTGATTCTCATTAGAAAAGTTCTTTTAAATAAATAATCTGCACTAATTTCTATGTATTAGAAATACATTTAATGTTTATTTTGTAATAATTGTAGGTACTCAGGACATTGAAAAACTATTACCTATAGTCCCATGTCCTCTTCACCTAAGTTCCCCCAGTGACAGCAAACATCTTATAGAACAGTATCAAAGCCAGGACGCTGACACCAATACAGTACTGTTAACTAGACTACAGGCCTCATGCCGTTCCCACCATTTTTTTTCATATGTACTTATGTGTGTGTTTATGTGGTGCTAGGCGGTATATGTTGTTGTTGCTAGATATTGCCAAGTTGGTACCGACTCATAGCGACCCTGTGTACAGCAGAATGAAACACTGCTTAGGGATACATGTTGTTGTTGTTGTTGTTGTTGTTGTTGTTAGGTGCCATTGAATCGGTGCCGATTCATAGTGACCTTATGTACAGCAGAATGAAACACTGCCTGATCCTGGGCCAACCTCACTATTGTGCAAATGCCTGAGCCCATTGATGCTGCCACTTTGCTTATCCATGTTGCTGGGGGTCTTCCTCTTTTTCTCTGACCCTCCACCTTACCAAACATGATATCCTTCTCCAGTGACTGGTCCCTTCTGACAC